CCCAGCTTTAGGTGGCTGCTGTGCAGGTGGTTTTCCTGTGTCTGGTTGTGGTTGTGGTTGTGGAGCAGGAGACTTGGAGGAAGGCTGGTCTTTTGGAGTCTGTTGTTGGGGTGCTCCAGGCTGTTTGGGCTTCTCTGCAGAAGGTTTTTGTGTAGCAGGCGGAACATCAGTCTTTGTCATAGTGGATGGAACAGTTTTATCAGGCAATGGAGCAGCTGTGGGGGTAATTTCCTTTGTTGGTGCACTAACTGCTGAAGAGTCAGTTTCTTTGGTTGTGGCAATGTCAGCGAGCTCAGATTTGGGTGCGCCTGGCTTAGGAATGTCTTCCTGTGGAGCTGACGCTGGGGTTTCTTTCTTCTCTGTGGTGGCAGGAACCTCTTTGCTTGGTGAAGGCTGTAGTTTTATCATGGGGAGGCCTGGAGGTTCAGAAGCTCCAAGTGCTCTTTGCATCTGGCAGTTGAGACACAGCCACTCCTTATCCTGAAAATCAAAGACAAGGAAACATGAGTAGTTCAACAATTATTAATGATTACCTCTCATAACAGTATTTTTGATCAACTGATTAATATAAGTACTTTGATTAAGAGACAACGTAAACATTGTCAGTAAACTAAAATCATACAAGAGCAAGTAATAAATTACTTTTAAATTACAATTAATTAAAAAAAAAAAGTCATTTTAAATTATTGAAGTCTGAACAAAAATAAATCCTGTGACTATAAACTAATTAATTTATTAAATTGTGCTTTAACCAAAAAGCAGAATGAGGGAACTAATCCTACAGTTTTTTGTAGTTTTATTACCTGTGTTACATTTGGCATGGGACTGAATCCACACTTGCTGCAGACGGTGGTTTTACACTCAGTGCAAGTGTTGTAGTTTGGAGGATTTTTGCTGTCCATGTTAAGTTCCGCCTTACAGAGTGGACAAGTAGACTGATCCACCTTTGGAGCAGCTTGGACAGCTTCTGGTTTTGCAGGCTCTGGCGGACCTTTATCCACTTTAGTCGGTCCTGATGGAGCAGCCTTGGCCTCCTGGTCTGGGATTTTTTCCACTTCTGGTTTCTGAACAGGAGGCGGTTTAACCTCCTTTGCTGACGTCATCCTTGGAGAAGCTGGGGGGCTGGACTTTGGAGAAGTCTTCAGATCTGACTTCCTGTCAGAAACCAGCGGGGCAGACATTTTGCGGGAACCTGCTGCTGTGCGAGACTCCTCCTGAACTGCAGATGTTATCAAATTTGAGGCTGAGCTGAAGATCGATGAACCAAATCCCATCATCTTCCCAGTCACCGCTTCAGTTGTTTTTGAAGCAGCACGCTGAGATTTAGGGCTACCAAAGCTGAAGAAACTTCCTGATTCTTGATTTTCTGGCTGTGCTGCTGGTGGAGCAGTTTTGGCAAGTGATGTTTCAACTAGCTGTGGCTCTTTGGCTTGTTGGGGCTGTACTTCATCAGAGGATTTGACAGTTGTTTTCTGAATTGATTCAGCTTTCTCCTCTTTCTTTTCTGATACTGCTTTAATTGGAGAAACATTTGGTTGAGTGAGATCGTTCTTCTTTTGAATTGATGTTTCAATATCGGTGGTGACAGGAGGAGCTTGAGCAGGCAGTGGTGTACTTGGATCTGAACCTTTAGTCCCCACCTCTTTGCTTGGAGGTGCAGTGGAGGTGGGAACCTCCTTGGCAGGTGGCTCACTAGGTTTCTCCTCTTTCGTTGGGGCTGTAACAGCAGCTGGAGTGTCTTTTGCAGGTGGTGTGGCAGTGGGTAATGGTTGTGTTAGGTCCGTTTTCTTTTGTTGGGCACCTGGTGTTGGACTGTCCTTCTGAGTCTTGTCTGGAACTTCTGCTTTTTGTGCAGCGGCATCTTTTTGGGAAGAAGTAGGTGCAGGCACTTTGCTGGGTGATGCCTGAGGTTTCATCAGTGGAGGCTGTACTGATTCGGTTGCTTTGAGGGCCCTTTGCATCTGACAAGTCAGACACAACCACTCCTTCATCTGTAAGGAAAACAATATTATTTTGAATAACTATAAAACACAGCACAACAAACAGCCACATTTGAAAGTACACTAAACCATCAATTTTTCAACTGACACAATGTGGTTTGGTGTAAAGTTAAACAACAGAAAAATGTCAATAATATAGAAAATGACAGTTCATTGATGCATGTATCTTGAGTAAGTCTTGTTTACCTTTGACTCATTTGGCATCGGGCTAAATCCACACTGGTTACAGACGGTGTTCTTGCATTCAGTGCAGGTATCGTAGTTCGGTGGATCCTTGGATCCCATGTTGAGTTCAATCTTACAGAGTGGACAGCTGGACTGGCCTGGTTTCACAGTGGCTTGGGAGGCTTCTGCAGCCTTTGGAGGCTGTGATGGAGCTTTTTCTACTTTAGCCTGCACCTGTGGAGATGCCTTGGTCTGCTGGGGTTGTTCTGGCTTCTTCTTCTCCTGGGCAGCAGGGGATTTAATCTCTTTTGCAGGCGACAATTTAGGAGAAACTGGTGGGGTGGTTTTGGGCTGGTCCTGAACAGCTGAGGTAATCAAAGTGGATGCAGAACTAAAAATGGAAGAACCAAATCCAAACATTTTTCCAGTCACTCTCTCTGCCGGCTTTTCAGCTTCAGGCTGAGTTTTGCCACCGCCAAAACCAAAGAAGCCTCCTGATTCTTTCTGTGCAGCTGCAGCTGCATTACTCTGCTTGCGTTCAGCTTGTCTTGGCGGCTCTGGTGATTTGTTAGGACCTGATGCTTTCTGGGGCTCCTGTGGTATTTTCTTAGAAGGAACCGGGCTGGCTTTTTTCTGAACCTCCGGCTTGTCAGTAGTGTCAGATTTAGCTGGCTGTGCTGTTACAGATAGTTTCCTCTGAGGTGACTGTGGTGTTGATGGCTGTTTCTTTTCAGGTTCAGCTGGACTAATGTCTTTCTTTTGGGGTTTTGCAGGTGGCTGAGAGTTGACAGAAGGGACGTCTGGTGGCTGCGCTGCTCCAAGAGCCCGCTGCATCTGGCAGGTGAGACACAACCACTCCTTTGTCTAAAAAAGAAAGAAAAGTGATACAGTTAGGTAATCTGTGAATAACTACCTTTTTTATTTAACTAATTAGTAGAGTTTTTACTTTTTCATTGCCAAAACTGTTATACATCTTGTAACAGAGAGTAAATAAGGTTTTCATTATTTAATATTCCCAGAAAAGAACAAAGACACATAATTTGAATTAAATAAAAAGCGACACTTTCAAAAGAGCAAATGTGGTGTACATCCAGTCTGTGTACAGGAAAATGAGAGTGTAGTGAACAGTATGTATTTTTTTCTCTACACTTACCGCTGTTTCATTTGGCATAGGGTTGAATCCACACTGGTTACAGACGGTGTTCTTGCATTCAGTGCAGGTGTTGTAGTTGGGAGGATCCTTGGAACCGATGTTGAGTTTGACCTTACAGAGCGGACATGTGGATTGGTCTGGTTTGACAGCTTCTTGGGACACTGCCGAAGGTTTTTGAGGTTCTTTTGGTGGTATGTCCACTTTGGGCTGCACCGATGGAGTAGTCTTGGTCTGCTGGGGTGGCTCTGTTTTCTTCTGCTGCTCCGGCGTCTGGGGAGCAGGGGGCTTGATCTCACCTGCCTTTGGCTGTACTGATGTTGGAGCCTTGGCTTGCTGTGGTTGCTCTGGTTTCTTGTCCTCTTCTGGTTTCTTCACAGCAGGAGATTTGGAGTCCTTTGCAGGAGACATCTTGGGAGAAACTGGTGGCGTAGTCTTGGGCTGGTCTTGAACAGCTGAGGTGATCAAAGTAGATGCAGAACTGAAAATGGAAGAACCAAAGCCAAACATTTTTCCAGTCACTGAATCTGCTGGCTTCTCAGCATCAGGTTGAGTTTTAGGACCACCAAAGCCAAAGATGCCCCCTGACTCTTGTTGTGTTGGTGCACTGGCATTACTCTGCTTACGTCCAGCTTGGTTTGCTTGATCTGGCGGTTTCTGTGGAGCAGCTTTCTGTTTATCTTGTGATAGTTTACGATCAGGTGCTGGGCTGGCCTGCTTCGTTGGTGTAGTACCAGGTTCAGATTTGCCTGACCCCACTGAGGCTGTTGATTGTTTTCGTTGTGGGGAGACTGATCCTGAAGGTTCCTTCTTTTGCACAGCAAGGTCTGGGCTGTCTTTCCTTTGAGGAGAAGCTGGTTTGGGAGAATCTTTTAACTGGACTGCAGCAGGTACAGCAACTTTTTTGGGTGAGCTTTGGGACTTGATCGCAGGAGGCCCAAGGGGGTCGGAAGCTCCAACTGCTCTTTTCATCTGACAGTTAAGACATAGCCATTCTTTTACCTGAAACCACAGTAGACAAACGGTTATCTGGTGCTTTAGGATTACAAATACACTACTTCACAAGAGCTTAAGGAAAAAAAATCCTCAAAACTTAGGTTACTCTCCACAGATCACTGATCAATAAAGAACTATAAATTCTCAGTGTGCTGGCACTAAATGTAGCATAGAAGAAGAGTTTATTCAGTCATGGATTTTTTAAATCTTGTACTTACCTCTCCTATGGGCATAGGGTTAAATCCACACTGGTTACAGACAACAGTTTTGCACTCAGTGCAGGTGTTATAGTTGGGAGGTTGTTTGGAGCCGATGTTGAGCTCGACCTTACACAGCGGACAGGTGGTTTGGTCTGCAGCAGGAGCCGTTTGTGAGACTGTTGCTGCCTTTGGTGGCTGTGCTGGAGCTTTGTCCTCTTTGACCTGTTGGGATTCATCTGGTTTCTTCTCCTGTTCTGGCTTCTGAGCAGGCTTCTGAGTTTTGGGTGACATTTTGGGAGAAGCCGTTGGTGTAGTTTTTGGAGAAATCTTGGGTACAGCAGACATCTTGGGAGAGACCTGTGCTGGTGCAGACATCTTACGAGAGCCCGGAGGTGTAGTCCGGGATTCTTCCTGAACAGCAGATGATATCAAGTTGGACGCTGAGCTGAAAATGGAGGAACCAAAGCCAAACATCTTTCCACTGACCGATTCTGTTGTTTTTGAAGCATCGGGGCCTGTTTTAGGACTACTGGAGCCTAATGTCTTTCCTGACTCCTGCCGTGTATCTGGGATGGGCTTGGTCTGTTTCAGGGCAGGTTGACTTGCCTGGTCAGCTGGTTTCTGGGAACCTTGTGCCCCTGGGATAGTTCCAGGAGTTTTCTGACCAGGAGTTGGACTAGCTTTTGTTTCACTCACTGGACCTTTAGCAGCTTTAGTTGCAGGTGTCACTACTGGGGACCCTGTCTTCTGAGGAGAACCTGGTGTGGAGCTCCCCTTCTTTTCCACTTGGTTGGGAGCTGTTATTTTCTGTTGTACAGCAGCTGGGGACACTTTGTTGGCTCCGGTGTTCGGTTTCATGGGAGGTCCCGTGAGTTCAGATGCACTAAGAGCTCTCTGCATCTGACAGTTCAGGCATAACCATTCTTTAACCTGTAAAAAATATATATGTTGAATTAAAACATGAACCTTTTCAACACCTGTATGAAATAATTGCAGGAAAAAAATATACAGTTTAAGTTCACAGTGTATTCCTGTTCAATTATGGGCTATGAAATGGTACTTTTACTCCTAATAAATTGCTATTTTATTGTATTTTCAAAGTAAATTGGAAAATTGTGTGATTTTTGCTGTTATTACCTCTGACACATTTGGCATTGGATTAAATCCACACTGGTTACAGACGGTGTTCTGGCATTCAGTGCATTTGTTGTAGTTGGGCGGTTCCTTGGAGCCAAAGTTGAGTTCCACCTTACAGAGCGGACAGGCCGACTGCCCTGCCTTAGAAACAGCTGGGGAAGCTGCTGCATCCTTTTGAGGCTGTGATGGGCCTTTTTCTACTTTGGCTTGTGGTGATGGAGAGGTCTTGGGCTGTTGAACTTGCTCTTGTTTCTTCTCGTGCTCAGGTTTCTGAACAGGAGGTGATTTGGTGGCCTTTGCAACAGGCATCTTGGGAGAAACTGGTGGTGTTGTTTTGGATTCATCTTGGACGGCCGAGTTTATTAAAGTGGATGCAGAACTGAAGATGGATGAACCAAAGCCAAACATTTTTCCTGTCACTGAGTCTGCAGACTTTGCAGCAGTAGGTGGTGTTTTAGGACCGCCAAATCCAAAGAACCCGCCTGACTCCTCTTGTGTAGTCGATGTAATGCTGCTCTTCTTAACTCCAGTTTGATTGGGTTTGGTCTGGTCTGGTGGTTTCTGAGGACCTGTCTTCTGACCTTGCTGTGGAGTTTTCTGACCAGGTGCTGGGCTGGCCTGTTTCTGACTTTCAGGTCCCTTCACAGCTTCAGTCTTCGCTGGCTGTTCTGCTGGTTTTTGTGGTTTCCTTATAGGTGAGCCTGATGGCGAGGCCTCCTTTATTTTAGATTCAGCAGATGCTGGAATGTCTTTCTTTTGAGGTGTTTCCAGAGGGGGAGCATCCTTCTTTGGCGCACTGGTAGGTGCCGGGACTTTATTGGGTGAAGCTTGTAGTTTCATCATGGGAGTTCCTGGAGGTTCAGATGCTCCTAGCGCTCTCTGCATCTGACAGTTGAGACATAGCCACTCCTTCACCTGTAATAGAGAAAAAAGCAAACAAGTGAAATGTAGTAATAACGAATAAGACGTAATCACTGTTCAAGTAATGTCTTCTGTGCTGCACAATACTCTGTTATCTTACCTCCTTAACATTTGGCATGGAATTAAATCCACATTGGTTACAGACAGTGTTTTTGCATTCAGTACAGGTGTTGTAGTTGGGAGGATCTTTGGAGCCCACATTGAGTTCCAGTTTACAGAGAGGACATGTAGATTGGCCTGTTTTGGAAACAACTGTTGAAGCTGATGCTTTCCTTAGAGGCTCTGATGGAGGTTTGTCTGTTTTCGGTGGTACCGATGGTGAACCCTTGGCTTGCTGTGGCTGCGCTGGTTTCTTCTCCTGTTCTTGTTTCTTGACAGAGGGGGATTTCGCTGGAGACATCTTGGGGGAAACCGGTGGTGTAATTTTGGACTCATCTTGAACAGCTGAGGTAATCAAAGTGGATGCAGAGCTGAAGATGGAGGATCCAAAACCAAACATCTTCCCAGTCACTGACTCCGCAGGCTTTGCAGCATCGGGCTGAGTTTTACCTCCGCCAAAACCAAAGAAGCCTCCTGACTCTTGCTGGGTTGGTGCAGTGGCATTTCCCTGCTTTTGTGCAGTTTGTATTTTCTGGTCTGGCTGTTTTTGAGGACCTGCTTTCTGGGTCTCCTGAGGTTTAGTCTGACCAGGAGCTGGGCTGACCTGTTTATGACTGTCTGGCGCTTCAGCCTTGGCTGGTTGTGCTGCTGGTGTTGATACTTTTTTCTGAGGAGACCCTGGTGAAGAAGTCTTTTGCAATGCAGGCTGTGTTGGAGGAGTCTTTTTCAATGAATTGACCAAAGATGGGTCTTTCTGAGGTTCAATTCCTGCAGCAGCTCGTTTCACCTGGCAGTTTAAACAAAGCCACTCCTTTCCCTTTAAAAAAAACAAAACACAGAAATAAATTAAACATGCACCACTTTAAATTATAACAAATTACAACGAAAGGGGGGAGGAAAAAGAAAAAAGGCAAATAAGAGAAGCTAGGAAATTAGGTGTCACTTTCTGAAGAGAAAAACACCCACACACACATTATGAATGATGGGATGCTGTGGGCAAACTCTGTAGGGGGCTGCAGTGTTTTAGATGAAGACAGGACTAGGTTGCTTCAAATACTGTGACTGATGATGCGTATGTAATTTTGATAAGCGGTACGATGTGAGAAACACACCAAAGCTCTTGTTTCTGCTAACACCTGCTATTTACTGCATGTATTTAGAAAAATTCAAATGAGATGTTTGCATTTAATTGCATCTGTTAAAAGTTTATTTTAACCAACTAATTATATTTTCGCAAAAGTAAGCTTATGGAAAAAGCAAATGCTCTCCACTTGCCACATGTTTAAGTCAAAGTTATGAAGTCAAGTGACAGTAAGGACAATTTAAACTATATATGTTAAAACACCCACTTTTACACGTGCTTCTAAAATTTGCAGAACGTTTTTTTATTATTATTATTTTGTTATTGGTTCAGCACGATTTTAACCATTAGTTTAAGCAAGGTCACATGAACAAGTAGCCTTGAACTGTCCTTGGCAATGTAGATACTAACTGTGTATTAAATTACAGAGTCAAGTGTCAAGTCCTTTGTGCATCAGGTAGCTCGTTTACCTCGTATTTGGTATTCCCTACAAGACAATACCCATGAGGGGGTGCATGTGTGTGGTGCTGCATCGAGCTTTTAAAGTAAATCTCTTTGACTAATGTCCAGCAACAGTGTCGAACACAGTGTCAACAAATTAGCTAATTAGCAGGTTTTTTTTAAAGCATCATGGAGCAATTCTCTATAAAGGCTGCATGTACCCAGGCAGTAGAGGCCATATTATTGCAAAAACATTGCACTACTTCGAAGAGCCATAAGAATAAAGGGAAAAAGAGTGACAGCACAGGTGTTTCAAGCTGCTTTGTACGAGTGTAAGCCCTTGCCTGTGGGGTCCGACACATTAACTTGTGACTCGCTGTCAGAGGATTGGATATTATGACAGGACTTCACAGGAATACAAAGACAACTTAGATCTAGATTCGATTTATATGTGTCTGTCGTAATTTACAGTTAATACAATTCTATGACAGAGATGTTAATTAAACATGCCTCTTTCATAAACTGAAAACTGTTCTTGCCATGTCATCTATTCATACATCCAAATTCTACTATTTGAGAACAGCTTTCCGAACAAAGAAATTACTGAAGCAACCACTCCGAACATAACAAAGGAACACAACAGCTTCGAAGAACTTCATTCACAAGTATCAAGAGCGTGCTGCAGTTCTGTCTTTAACTATTAAACACTTTCGAGACACGAGGCAATAATGTAACAGCTCAGACAGAACAGTTTCTGCTAAATCTCCCAGGAAAGAAAAGCGATTTAAGCCCAAGACTATTAAATTATATAGAGATGCATTTAACTTTTAGAGAACAAAATTCCTCAAATGTTTCTTTACTCCTTTCTTTTAAATCCTCATTCATTCTTTCATTCCTAAGTTCATTCAATAAATTCCGTGCATGTCTTACCTCTTTAACATTTGGCATAGGGTTAAATCCACATTGATTACAGACAGTGCTTTTGCAGTCAGTGCAGCTGCTGTAGTTGGGAGGATCCTTGGAGCCCACGTTGAGCACCATCTTGCAGATTGGACAGGTGGACTTGTCCGCTTTAGGAGCACTACGGGGGGTTGCCGCCGCCTTCGGAGTCTCTGATTGTTCCACTTTCCCCTGCCCCGCTGGTTGAGCCTTTGCCTGCTGTGGTTGCTGTTGTTTCTTGTCTTGCTCTGACTTTGGGACAGTAGTTGGTTTTGTGTCCTTTGCAGGCTGCATCTTAGGAGAAACCGGAGGTGTTGTTTTAGGCTCATCCTTACCAGCTGAAGCTATCAAAGTAGACGCAGAACTGAAAATGGAGGAACCAAAACCAAACATCTTCCCGGTTACCGACTCTTCTGGTTTTGCGGCTTCCGTTTTAGCACCACCGAAGCCGAATAAACCCCCCGACTCCTGCTGGGGAGCCGGAGTGGCACCGCTTTGCTTGCGTCCAGTTTGACTCGATGGTTTTGGAGACCCGGATGCTTTCTGGGCCTCAGGTGTCGTTTTCTGAACAGATGCTGGGCTGGCTTGTTTTTGACTTTCGGGTCCTTTAGCAGCGTCACCCTTGGCTGGCACTTTTGTTGATGTGGACTGCAATCTCTGAGGTGAACCTGGTGCTGACGTTTCTTTTTTGACAGGTGCAGCGGGAGACGGTGTCTGGTTGGATGTGGGCTTTTTCATGGGAGGTCCCGGGGGTTCTGAAGATCCTTGCGCTCTCTTTATTTGGCAGGTAAGACAAAGCCACTCACGTCCCTATTAAAAAAAATAAAGACACATACACTGTGACAAAGATAGATGCACGTAGGAAAATGTTGCACAAATATACAAGAAAAAAGATCTGTGTGTAGTTCCCAAAATCAGATAAGTTGCGTCACAAATAACTTTTAGAACTTATAAAACCGAATAATGGTTAAAAGCAGGTGGCTAGCAATTACACTATAGTAATTAAGCCATTGTGTTGTTGGTTAAATCAGTGTTAATTTGATATTAAAGACAGCCTGAGAAAGGTTTTCACAAATGTATGTAATGATTGGTGCCGTAAACTTGATTCCTGAATGCAATAACGCCTCATGTTGAAATAACTCAGCAGCTACTAATCCATCTGCACTGAATAGGAAATGAATTCAGAGTAATAATAACACAAAGTGTGTTCTGTACGATGCATCTTACGGACACACATTTGGTGAAAACACGGCGAAGTCATGTGAAAATCTGAAAGAAGTGATACAAACACTAACAGCTACTCACATCAGAGTCTGGAGGGCTGAAGCCACACAAGCTGCACACTTGAGTTTTACACTGCGTACAGGTTTTGTGGTTCGGTGGATCCTTGGTATGCACATTAAGTTCTGTTGTGTTACACACAGGGCAAAGAGACTTAGCTCCTGCTTTGGACTGAGATCTGTTTGCTGCCGGTGACGAAGACCCAGGTGTGCCAGGTCCCTTCATGCCTTGCTGCTGGGGTGTAGTCCTGCCGCCTTTCTGCTGTCCAGTTTTTGGTGACCCCTGCTGTTGCTGCCCCGACTCAGTCCCAACCTTTGTCGCCCCTTGCGCCCCAGTCTTTGCAGGTTCTTGCTGCTGTGCACCAGTCTTAGCAGGGCCTTGCTGCTGCACCTTAGGCGGAACCTGTTGTTTTGACGAGGGCTTCGGAGACTCCGGTTGTGCTCCACTCTTGGTCAGAACCTGTTGTTTTGCTTCCGGCTTGGGTGACCCTTGCTGCTGTGGGCCCTTAGGTTGGTTTTTTGGGGGCTCCGCTTTAAGCTGGGCTCCAGGCTGCGTCCCTGGTTTTGAAGCAGCTTGTTGCCCAGCCGGCTTGTTCGGCGGTCCGGTCTGCCCGTTCCCCTGCAGCTGTGGTGATCCTTGCTTAGCAGGAGGCTTTTGCATAGGGGGGCCCTGGCCTGATTTTGGGGGGCCCTGATTTTGCTGAGGGTCTTTGCCAGGGCTCGCTCCTGGCTGCTGCTCCCCGCCTGGTTTTTTATTCCCCTCCCCATCATCGCCAAATAAACCAAACTTATTCACAGCAGAGGACACAGCATTGAGGGGGTTGGCCCCACTAAGGAATTTGGAGGAGAACATAGCTGGGTCTTCTTCCTCCTCCTCCTCTTCCTCCTCCTCCTCCTCCTCGTCCTCCTCCTCCTCCTCCTCCTCGCAGGAGCTGGAATCTACAGGACTGTCGGAGTCGGAGCAGGAGCTGTCTCCTCTTTGTCCTGGCTCTCCTGCAGAGGCCTGAGGGGGGGCTGGGGCCGGGCCTGTGGAGAGGGCATCTACAGCCCCACTGCTGCTACTGCTGCTGCTGCTGCTCCCTGGACTCTCCTCTGGCTCAGCATCTACATCAGACTTCCTAAATGCACGACAAACAGAGAGAGAAAGTGTGAGACACGAGGGAGGGCTAATGAAAGCGAGCGTGAGAATTTATGAACCACACACACACTCATACAACACTGCCTACATTAAAAATAGCATACTTAAGCATGATGGATATAGGAAAAAGGGATGCAGGGGGGGAAATATAATACCGCACATCCATTATTCACTGTCCAAGGTGTGTTTTTTGATCCCCTTTTATGCATATTGTAATCAAGTTACCTCCATTAACTCAACTTAGAAGTCCATCAGTGTGTTCCCATTTGGAGCTGTGCATCTAAATCCGTAAATAGCACCTTTTTACAACAGAGGAATTTACATTTGAATGCAACTGTAAATGCTGAAGAAGCTTCCTATGCCACACACCGGTGCTTGATACATGAAAACTCGCTTTAATCTCGGATGAAACCGTCATCATTTGCATCGCAATCGTCGCCTCCACACAAGAGAGAGATCCACGAAGGATTCAGCCTCACTTTGATTTACTCCGCACCGACTGTTGCTTTCAGGACCACGGACAGGGTCAGAGCCGCTCCGCTGATCACAGCCCACAAATCTCAGAGATCGCTTTCATCGTGAACAGCCTTGCAAAAAAAAAATGTGGCTTACTACAAAACCCATTCAACGTGGACTGATGGTCTTTTTTTTTCCTTCTCCAAACCGTGACAGGATTCTGCTGTCATCAGCCCAAATGGCACCGATTGTCGCGCAGTGGCAAATCTCATGCAGGACGTGTTTTACAGCAGCAGAGACGAGTAAACAGAGGAAAGGAAAAAAAAAAATCTAGCGCTCTCTCTGGAGAAACTGCAGGCACATCCGGGTAGGGGCCCGTCTAAAAACGCATGGGAAGTGAATAGTTTCCTCTTTTTATACGAGCAAAAGCAACGTCAAGGGCAGTACAGGTCTGTGATGAGCAAGTCTCTCTCTGTAAATAGGCTTTTGAAGCCGGATTTACGCACTGCCCACGAGCAGCAATGCTTCACCCATAGGATCCACACAGCGGTTTAGCCAAATGGAGAGAGAGGAGGAGAAAAGGCATGCATAGCGCACGACCACCCGAAACCGGACAACATGCTGCTCTGCAAAAAAAAAGGTGATGAGCTCCACTGGTGACTGGAGGAAAGCAAATACAAAATTATCACCTATTTCTGTGCCCTTGACCACGCGCCCCGTTCACGTTTTTCTGTTGGAGTGGAAATAATCTAGTGTACTCCACTATTTTAAAAATGATTTCAAAAGCAGCCCAGAACGGTGAAGCAAGCCGGCAAAAGCCCTGTCATCGTTGTCATTTCCCTGAAAATACCATCTGCTATCCGCTCCGTGTCCCCCCACCGCCTCAATCTCCTCCCATCCCAGCATCCTTCACCCTCCACGGTCACAATGTCAAACACCGAAAGCGCGTTCATTCCGGTGACACCGGAGGGAAACCGTACCTTCGTCAACAGCCGGGCCGTGTCCCCATCCTTCCCCCTTTGGAAAAAAAAAAAAACCTGCGCGGATATCCCCCTCCCCCTTGAGTCCTGTTGTCTGTCTGATCGCCGAGGGATGGAGGGCACAGGGCAGCAGATAGAGAGCGATCAGCATCCACTCCGCCTCCCGCTCCAGTGCGCAGGCGCCGCCTCTGACAGGTGATCACAATATATATCACGCACGGAAATTGAAATTAAAGGGGACAAGCGATTTATTTTTTTTTCCCCCCCAGAGTCACGTGTGATCCGGCGGCGAGGACCTCGAGATTTACCCTCACGCGTGATGCGGCTGCTCGTCTTCTCGGCGGCCGCTGACAGATTTAAAATGTCATCGTGGCGATCATGAGGAGGGATAATATGATCGTAGATCCGAGTGGCTCCAGACGCATCCGAGTCACTCTAAATCTCATTTTTCAGCGTTATTTGTATTTTATAGGGAAATATGTCTTTAACTTGCTTATCCTGTGTTATAATGTGCAGTGGATGTACATCAACTGTATCTGTGGACTGGGTTTAGACACTTAAATCTTGTCTTTTTTAAATGGTTATTTCCCTCCTTTGACGCACAGATACATGCGTCCACGTGTGTGTGCAGTGGCATGCCAGGACATCACTGAGAAAGTGAGCTGGCCACGTGTCTCCTTTGTCATTCCCAAGACATTTGTCCATCTGATACCATGAAAAAAAAAAGAAAAAAATCTTGTGGGTGCATTAGCAAAGCTTTTTTTTTTTTTACCCTTCACCTAACATCATCAAGCCAACCAATCTCAAACCTAAAATGCCTCTTCACATTTCTCCCTCTTTGTCAGTTTAGCACCATCCATCCAGACCAGCTTCACAACAATATGTAAGATAAAACCCACTCACAGCTTCCAGTTCAGTCGCTTTATTTAAAAAGCAAATGTCTGAGCTTTGTACAGATAAAAGCATTTTGTTGTATTTTGCACCACATGCCTCTCCTCAAAACACATCTAGATATCCTCTTATGGATCTGAATTAAAGGTTGCTGGTTGGGTTTTAGCGTATAGGAAGTGAACACCCACAAGCGGGTCTCCAGGGTCCGTAACCTCTTTCTTCTTCCTGCACAGACCTTCTTATTTTGGCATTTCTCCCACAAGAGTTTATTTTACAGAGCAGATGTGATGTGAAGAGACACTGTGGGTAATCTTATCCTGTGCTGCTGTCAGAGTGGGAAAAAAAAGTCAGCAGTTGTTGGAGTTCAGGCCAGATGTATAGCATGATCCTTGAAAGGCATCTTCAGAGAATTTCAAATCGTATATAAGATATCTCACCCTGTAAATACTTCAGTTTACACCTTTAGGGTATTGAAATCTATATTTTTTTTTCCTTGCTGGTGAACTGATTTACAGAATACAGTCAGAATGCACTGCAAAATGGGGGAAAAGTCCAGCCATTCTCCCATAAAACAGAAAATTCACGATAACCTTATCATCTGGAGGCAAGGATTTGTCCGTCATTTTCGAGCAGTCACGTCCTCACGCTCGCATGCAAATTTACACACCACATACAGTAGATCAATTCCTGTTCAGTATGTGGTAAGCGTGAGTGAGATGTGTGGGTTGGATGGAGAGCAAGTGTTGTGTGGGCGTGTGGAAGAGTTACGTCATGCGTGATGTGTGAGCAGCAGACTCGCTATCTCTCTTCGGAAAGCGCCAGATTTGGCTTGGAAGCAGACGCGCACACACACACACACACACACAAACACAGGAAATCTTCCTCAGCACAATCTCCATCTGTGCATATAGGCTGTAACTTTTGCTGCGGACTCGCACATGTGCCGGAAATCCATTAAGTAATCTCAGACTGCTTATATCTACTTCATCCTCACAATCTGCTACTTAGAAATCTTTTGGTTTGCGTAATAAGTGATTATCCTCTTCCTGTTTTCTGTGTAGGATCAGAACAGAACCTGTGACGACAATGTAGACTCGTGTCCTTACGTGTCACCGCTAAGTTGTGGTGGGAGATAGTAGAGAGAGTCTCATCCATGGATCTCTGGTCCTGAGAAGAATGTATGGCTGTGATTGCTTGGCTAGTTATTTAACATCAATGTTTTTCTGTTTACATCCTTCTCCACGAGGGAGTTGTGTTTGTCAGTCAACACTATTATGTAAGATTTTAAGACAGCAGGCAATCACCAGATGTGGTACCATCATGTTTCTCTTTTGATCAGTCCCTGCTTGTCAGTTTACATATAAAAACCACAACCTCCTCTGTCACCATCCGTTTTTTTTGTTTTTTCCATCTCCCACGTATTCTGTGCTATCGGCACACCAGCCTCGGATTCTACACTCGCACAGCTGAACCGTCGTAGACTTTTGCGGCATCGCTCATTTGTATACCAGCGAACCTCGAAATGAATTTGGTGCTCTCGTGTGTATTGAGGAGTGAAAAGATTTCAAGCTGCTCGTGGGGAACAGTTTGAAAAGTGTGCATATTAAAACATGTTTTCGCCTGCGGGTTCCTTTGTCTGACTTCACCACATGTGCAAAGAGTAAATTCACATGAGGGACTGAGATTAAATGCCTCTCAAAGGCCCTTTTTTTAAAATATATATTTCAAATTTCATTCAGCAGATACTTTAAGAAAACTGGAATAGAAATGATTTAAAAAAAAAAAATCACATCCTCTGCCTTTTTCTCTGTGGTGTGATTTAGAAGTCTTAATAGAGACATAAAGCCTAAATTAATTCATCTTTCTCTCACATTAAGCCTCTTCAAATCATGTGATGTTTGCAGGAAACTCATTACCAAGTACAAATATTAAAAAAATAGAGCTAGCATTTCATAAACTAATATTAATGACGGAGAAAAAAAGAGTGCTACCTGTTGAATGACCGTCCTTAAAGCTTGGCTACAAAGACTTCCAGCTTGCATTTACATGAAACACAAATTAAACCAAGTTCATACTGTGCAGCTTAAACTGAAAGCTGATCTCTACTGGGAGGAACCTCTCCTGATTGAAGCCCGCAGGGAGAGATGGCGGGTAGACAGGTCACCGGTTTACACAAATACATTTACACCTACATGAATCCGGGAGTCGAGCCTGCAGTGCAGCTAATCTGAAAGTCTATCAGCTGCTGGAGGAAACTCACACAGGTTTGAACCCGCAGTCTGCTTGCTTACAGGCACAAACCATGAAAGCACCTTGCTATCCTGGGATAGACTCAACACAAACTGTTGTTCCTGCATAATATTATACGTGTTCTCACTCCTGATTTTTTTTTTGTTTCAAACTCTAACACAGACATAAGGGTGTTTCCCATTAGACAGTTGACCACACATCTCCGTGGTTCTCTGTTCTTGTAATGCTGCCTTTCTGCTCACTCGGGCATAAAACATTAGAGAGACATCACATTTATTCATATTCTCCTCTCCACAGTTGATTCCAATCCCTCAACGCTCACACCTCCATCTCTCTCTGTTTCTCTATGCAGCTCTGTCATACACAAACAAACTCAAACAAACAGAGCCGGGGAAGCAATACTTATCTCGCTCTCATTTTAATTAAGCTGACACACTGGAGCACAGTGCTGCCTAGCAATTTCTATCACCCCCCCCCTCCTTCAGCTGTAATTCTCATGCATGAGACTGCAACTTCCACAGCAACAAAAAGCCAAACACTCACTCCTAGTTGTCATTTAAAAAAAAACTATTTTGGTAAAAAGTTTGCA